TGGTTTTCGCATAGCGTCCGTGTACCCTTTTTGAAGATAGGGATAACTGTCGACATGCCCCATTCTGCAGGCACTTGCTCTTCGTCTCACATAGTACCAATAAGCTTTGTCAAGTGGGTCACCAGGGAATTTCCGCCTTCTTTGAAGAGGGCTGGATACAGACCTTCCGGTCCTGGTGCCTTCTCACGTTTCAGTACGGCTATTTCATACCTTATTTCTTCTTCCGTAGGGCGATCAAGGCTTACATTCCATTCGCCCGTATGCACTCTCTCCACCGGCTGTGTTGCAGGAGGCCAGCTGAACTGCTGTTCGAAGTGTTCGGCCCATCTCTCCAGTCGACGTTTTTGCGAGTGAATTAATGTGCCATCTTTTTCACTTATCGTTTCGCTGACCTTTGCTTTCCTAGGGCCAGTCGATCGTATCAGTTTATAACGGACACGGCTGTTTCCCGTAGCAAAAGCCCTCTCCATCTCCCGAGCTTTCGATGTCCACCAGAGCTCTCGGTCTTTCCTTAGACTCTTCACTATTTGGCGTTTGAGGGATTTGCGTGCGCCCTCGTACTCGTTGGTTGCTGGTATGGCTTTCCTGGCATCAATCATGGATAACGACCTCGACGACATCCAGTGGTCCTGTGGTCGAATTGGAGAAGTCGGGCAGGCAGCGCTGAACGCCGCTAGTATAGCTCCTTTCACATTTTGCCACGCTTCATCCACCGCACCAATCTTTTCGATTATACCAGTTGGCATCGCTTGACAATGGGTTGCCAGGGGCCCGCTCTCGCTCACTCACTCCTATCCATTTCCCTCCTGGTGGTCCACCTGCCCAATCGATGCCCAATGAATACCAAATGAAAGAAAACATTCCCATCTCTCCCGGCCCTGGTTCCACTGGAATGTGGCTGACTGGACATCCACCGTCTCATGCGATGGGTGGCAATACAGCACGTCCGTACGACTCGCAAGCATATCGACCTGGCTTGCCCTCTTCCTGTCCCGGATATCAGACCAGTGTCAATTCAGGCAGACCTTCTACCGGCGCTTCGGCTGGCGTCCCGGGTGGTCCTGGTACACATCGGGATCCGAATTCTTTGACTGCCTCTGGCCGCCTCGATTCGGGCTCACATCAACTCTCCCAATCCATGCAACGACCACAGTCGTCCGCATTGGACACACAAGCACCGGTGAGTCATTCGGTGCTCTGGGAAGGCGAAGTGAATGTGAACGATCCTAATTTTTCCGGTCCCTCTCGTCGGAAGATGAGTCTCATACTGGAGCAAGCTGGATTGCGTGACTTCAGTCAATTGAATATGCAACTGTGGGGACCGGTCGCCCAATTGTCCATCGTTCTGACTCATTGTGACAGTGCTCTGGTTCATCGGCTAACGAATAACTCCCCTGGTGGTAATCTGCTTGCTCAGGTGTTAGTAGAGTTGCCGCAATCAGAGGAGGCCTGTACTCTGGTGTCCGCACTGTCATCTATCAGTTCGATGGCCGTACCGTTGGGGATTCTCTCACCTCCACCAAACATGTTGCCAAATCCTATTCCACCTGGTACCATTGGGTTTGTGTGTCTGAGCTACATCCTGAAGCGCAACCACATTTACGGTCTTATCCCAGCGGATTCCGAGCAGTTTCGGCAAAATTTGCCTTCTAGGCAAAGTAATTTTACGAAATCACACGCTGTTATCAGGATGTCTTGTCTGGATGTCTTGTTGGCCAGACTTAATCACTCGTAGAATTCTTCCTTGACGGCTGAATCTGATGCAAACGGTGGACCATATGTGGCAGCATTATCACGTCCACGGGGGTGCCTCTAAAGCGAGCCAGTGCTTCTTGAAGACATTGGTGCCCAGGCAGCGAGTGTACCACTGATACGGCTGCTCAATGCTAAGGCAACACCACGGAGGCCTGAGTTTTAAATCAGTCCGCACTGGCAGAGCAATTAGGGGACGTTTGTTCCGGACACTTGGATTCTTCTACGGTTGGTAATCGAGTTTCTGCGGGGTATGATGTATCTGATAAGTATACATGCAAATGGTGATACTCTGGCTGGAAGGGTTAGGAGGGGTGCAAATGTTCCAGCAGATTATAAAATCTTTTTTCTCGCGATTAAGATCACAGCTTGCGTTCTGGTCACTCCAGCCGCTGGGTCAGAACTTTGTGAGTTGCTCTCCGTGGGTGTGATGTGAAGGGAATTGACTGCAGAAGACCACCGAATTTTTATGGAGCTTCGTTGTGGGTTGGGCCCTTGATCTTACTGGGCTTCTGTCCGAGGATGCACTTCCGGCCTCTTTACACTCAGGTGCTATCCACAAGCAGCGGGGAACGAGCACAGTATGATTGGCCAGCACCGCCACCGTGGCAGTTGGATTCCAAGGGTTATCTCTTCCGCTCAATCCCTCGGAGCCGATTCCTGTTCTCGTGACGGTTGGGCCGTCAGCCCCTTTACTTCGGTGAAGACACCCTCCACCTGGATGTGTTGAATAGGACCTTAGCGGTAGAGATTACATCACATTGGGTCTCTTGGGAGCATTTCATGGGGCTTAAATGACGTTTTTACTCGCTTCCCCAATACTTCCACCACCGACCGTACTGAGACTTTAGGTAGCCAGTCCCTGAAAGCTGTTTGGAATTGGTTGAAAGCGTCAAGTTGCTTTTTTGTATTCATTTCAGCTGAACTACTTCGCCCAATTACATCTCTAAGTAGCCGCATCTTTACGAATAATACCCAAGTACTCGGTTCACTGTGCTTGTAAATACCCAACTTGTGCTGGCAACAAACATGACGGATTGTAATCAAGTGAATACCAATGGACAAGCGAAGGTAAATGTTCATTATATCCTACTGCTGAATTTCCTCAAAAGAGAAACCTGTATAGTTGAATTTATCATAAATTCTTTCTGATAACCTACAAGTATTATATAGAGTCGGGTTATTAGATGTGTACATCCGTGCCTGATTAAAGAGGAGTAGTTTAACTAAAATATGATACAATTATCTGTCACCTTTACTTAGTTGGCTTGTCACGTTATACTGCACTGATGCATCTCTGCACTGAGCTTATGTGGGACCTTCAGCCGATGTGAACCTAAGGGGAAGGGACCGAAAGTCTAGCCGATTGTGCATAGCCTCACCAATCAAAAGTCAAGTGTCCGGTTCCGAATCGGACCTCAAATATGTGCGAGATTCGATGCCCACACAAACGTTTCAGTTCTATCGGCTTTGCGAATAATCCTTTCGAATTCGCTTAATAATACTGCTTTATTCATTCTCCTTGGACCGCACGCGAAGCCGCACAGTCGAAGTACTCTGGGCAAATATGCGGGTACCTAGTCCTTCTTTTCCGAATAGGAATGGGTCCGCAGTTATCTCTGGAGGCTGCTGTTCTCAAGATAATATGCTACTTGGACATGTACTGTACTGTACTGTTTATTAGGCTCGATGCTTTTTAGTCCAGTTTGCAATGCAAATGATGAACTTAGGTGCTCATTCACGCTTGGGTGAGGAACGACTCATTGCAGCAGTTCCATCTGAATGACGCTCTGTTCATGTAAAATGTGCTGTTTACTGACAGTTGTTATTTCGTCATTTTTCTTCAAAAATACTGACATTACCAGAATTTCTTTTGCGAGGCACAGTACATTTTTCATACACTTATCTTTTTAGAGGTCCACTCGAACTTATCGATCGAAGTAGATATTGTCCCCGGGTCTACTGGAAAACCTGAGGTGCACTACTCAACTGTCGCTTCTGACCTAGTTCCTTCATGTGCCCGAGAATCCCATGAACATGCTAATAGCTTTTAGGTCTTTATCCTGTACTACATTTTATAAAGTGACTTCTATCCGTGAGGTGTGGTAATATTCATCCAAAAGTTATCCATTCATCCCTTTTGAGGTTGACAAACTGGCATCGCGTCTTGCCAATGCCTCAGTGGCACATGGAGATGCCTCCAAGACCCTTCTGAAGGTCCCTAAGGTAAGCTGGATATCTATTTATCACCTATCGGCTCAGGGCACGCGAGATCGGAATCCGTTCCAAATGAGGGTTCTGGAAGATGTGTTTTCCACAATTATCCAGTCTTTTAAACGTCACGATGCTGTTACTATCGATACACCTGTATTTGAACTTAAGGTATGCTGTAAATGTTCTACGAAAATGCACAGGAAGTTCTAACGGGGAAATATGGTGAAGATTCCAAACTCATATACGATCTGCAGGACCAAGGGGGTGAACTTCTATCCCTCCGTTATGACCTAACGGTAGGTTGCTTTCCAATTTCATTGATCCTGTAATTAGGTTCCCTTCGCACGCTATGTGGCGATGAACAAAATTAAGAATATCAAACGTTACCAAATCGGCAAAGTTTATCGGCGAGACCAGCCTGCCATGACTCGTGGTCGGTATAGAGAATTCTACCAATGCGTACGTTCTGCTCGTTACTGATATATTTCACCTGTTTTGTCCTCCACTATCCATCTTTGGGTATTTTCAGACATTTCTGCCTCTAGGGATGCCCCCCAATGTTCATGTTGCTTCTGCTGTCTTGGAAACCAATGTGCTGTGCAACTCGACTAGTCTCTGTTGTGGTATTCAAGGAGTTACAACACATCACATGTGTTAAACTTATTCAGTATGAAGTCACGACTGCAGAAGAGTTTATTTAACCATCCGAGATTCTGCCCGCTAGCTCTGCCGACTCTGCTCATCTCTGCCTCAATCTGTCGGTTCAATGATGGCCACGTCTCATCTTTGCGTACCTGAAAAACGGGACTTATTACTTTGCTCTTCCAATGTTTGGTTCACCGAGAAAGCGGACTTGCACCCTTAGAATTCTATTACAGGTAGATATAAAACATGGGCTGCTCTGTACAAAGCTATTTTGGAACACCAACAGCCTTTATGCCTGAACTCAGAGGGATCCATGTTCATGTCCGTAGGGAAGCATCGCCTCCACCACCCACTGAGCTATACACGGGGCTGTCCGTGCGACACTTGCGATCTCATACCAGGTTGGTCAATGATTAGACGCCTGACAAACGTAGTCTCCTGGTCCTCCAGATTTGGGGCTGAAACATGTGTCGAATTTTTCCGTGAAAGCAGTTATTTATTTGCGTTTCCCACCATACACCGCTGACTATTGGTTTGGCCTGTGAGCGAAAGGTTCTTTTTGAGGACCCTAATCCCAACCCACGTACAACCATGAATTGCACACATACAAATAAACTCATGCCACATCCGCCGTCGCGGGCTGCCATCGTTCGGTTCACGTTGATGCATACAACCGGGTGAGTGAGCAAAAACAGGCTCTTGCTGGTGCCTCTCTTACTCTTTTACATACTTTTTCTCCCCCTCTCCCTACCTTATTAATATCTCTCTTCTTGTAAGCCAAATACTTAGGACTGATTACTCCGTTCGTCCTGCATCGGCTTTGCGAACAATATCTGCGCGTCATCCAGCGCGGACATCCTCAGGCATCTCGAAATCACTATCCAAGCTTCGGCGCCCAGTCTGTCTGACTGCGTTCAATGTGCTCCCTCTGAAGCGAGAAGGCAACAATTCGCTCTTGCCCTCGCACTGGACTCGCTTGGCATTGATGTGTCATCATCATCGTCATTGTCAGCTGTAAGAACCGCGTACTCGTCGTACAGTGGTTGTAGCTACCGCAGTTTCGTTCACCGATGATTGGGGGGGGGTAGGTAGCTGTGCATTGCACGCGCGAGCTGATAAATTGGTGCATAAATCCAGCACTGTAAGTGGGCTGTCAAGTGGGGGGTTGGTTGGAGAAGGAGCTATGCATTGAAGGCAATAGCTATGATGCACGAACGCCATTGAGGGCGCGACTGGGCGATGTCTGATAATCTCTCTAGTGATTGATGTGGCCCGTCTCGGGGTCCCCATCCAGGAAGACGGCAGTGACCAGCGCAGCTGAGTTTGCTGGTAATGGCTTTCATACTTCGCTGCCAAGTCATTGCTTGACCGCCTCTGGCTCTCTTCCACCCTTCACATGGTTGGGCGAAAAGAGGCCTTCGAGGAAGTCGGTCGACTGGCATACGCAGCATGTGGCCAAGCCAGCGCAACCTGTGCAGTGTGATCAGTTCATCTATCGAGGGTGAGTTATTTCTCCCGAATACCATTCGACGTACTTCAGAATTGCTGATCCGGTGTTCCCACCAGATTCGGGCAATGCTCCGAAGACATCGATGGTCAAACACTGAAAGTCTTTTGACGTCCTCGGCGCGCAGCGGCCAGGTTTCTGATCCATATAGTAATATGGAGCGCACCGCAGCATTGTAAACTCGACCCTTGACAGAGAAGCTGATGTCACGCCTACGCCACAGGTGACGTAGGTTCGCAAAAGCTGCTCTGGCCTTCCCAATCCGGATGGAAATATCATCTTTCGCGAGACCACCGGGACTGATACAGCTGCCCAGGTAGACAAATTTGTCTACTACCTCAATCGGTTCATCCGCAAGCATGAGGCTAGGGTTCGAGCCCACCCAGTCTTGCAGTAGCACTTTACACTTTGCAGGTGTGAAGCGCATACCAAACCGCGAGGCAGAATTATTTAGATTATTTAGTATTGTTTGCAATGCCACGGGGTCAGATCCTAGAAGAGCTATGTCGTCTGCGTACTCGATGTCTGTGAGCGGAGGCCCAGGGAGCACTTCGACCCCACAGGCATTAGAGGCTGGTAGTGAGTCTTCCATGATCGTATCAATGACGAAGTTAAAGAGGAAAGGTGAAAGAGGACAACCCTGTCGGACACCACTTGATGTGGTGAACTCAGGAGAGAGCTTCCCGTAGACCTTTACACGGCCACGGGAGTTGGCGTACAGCGCCTTAATGAGGTTCAAGAATTTATGGGGGACACCTTTGCTCCACAGACACTGCCATAGTGCTTGGCGGTCCACAGAGTCAAAGGCAGCTTTCAGATCAAGAAAAACAACCATTGTTGGTTGCTGGAAGCAGTGTTGCTTTTCCAGAATCTGTCTGAGGGTGAAGATATGGTCGATGCAACCTCTTGCAGGACGGGACCCAGCTTGGTTTTCACAGATCTGCCTCTCCCTGTGTTCAGTCAACCTTCGAACGATAAGGCCAGAGAGCACCTTCGATGCCACAGCTAACAGGCTAATGCCACGGTGGTTTTCGCATAGCGTCCGTGTACCCTTTTTGAAGATAGGGATAACTGTCGACATGCCCCATTCTGCAGGCACTTGCTCTTCGTCTCACATAGTACCAATAAGCTTTGTCAAGTGGGTCACCAGGGAATTTCCGCCTTCTTTGAAGAGGGCTGGATACAGACCTTCCGGTCCTGGTGCCTTCTCACGTTTCAGTACGGCTATTTCATACCTTATTTCTTCTTCCGTAGGGCGATCAAGGCTTACATTCCATTCGCCCGTATGCACTCTCTCCACCGGCTGTGTTGCAGGAGGCCAGCTGAACTGCTGTTCGAAGTGTTCGGCCCATCTCTCCAGTCGACGTTTTTGCGAGTGAATTAATGTGCCATCTTTTTCACTTATCGTTTCGCTGACCTTTGCTTTCCTAGGGCCAGTCGATCGTATCAGTTTATAACGGACACGGCTGTTTCCCGTAGCAAAAGCCCTCTCCATCTCCCGAGCTTTCGATGTCCACCAGAGCTCTCGGTCTTTCCTTAGACTCTTCACTATTTGGCGTTTGAGGGATTTGCGTGCGCCCTCGTACTCGTTGGTTGCTGGTATGGCTTTCCTGGCATCAATCATGGATAACGACCTCGACGACATCCAGTGGTCCTGTGGTCGAATTGGAGAAGTCGGGCAGGCAGCGCTGAACGCCGCTAGTATAGCCCCTTTCGCATTTTGGGACGCTTCATCCGCATGTTTACTGTCACCACAGTATTGTTTTACTGTGGAGAGTTGTTAGTTTAGCTCAGTTCGATACTGTTGAGCTATGGGAGTTCGTCGAATATAGTGGATTGGCATGCTTCTTGCCGAGTTGCAACGGTCTGAAGGGAAACGAACTGTCAAGCGTGCGCGCATCACGGCGTGATCGGAATCAAGTGGTGTGCCCCAGAAGGAACGCCAGTCTTGATTTGTGGCTCTCCGCCGGTGACTGATGGCCACGTGGTCCAACTGGGTCCGCGGCCGCCAGGTCACACGGTGCGAACGTTTATGTTGAAAGTTCGCACTTGCCAGAAACAGTTCGTGATCAGCACACAACTGAAGGAGTCGATCTCCGTTGTCTGTGCGGCGAGCATCGACTCCGAATCGACCACCCAAATGTGATTCC